GGTTAAGCTTCAAGCGCGCTCCTGACATAATCGATGCATGAAAAAAATACACGCCGATGCATCATTTTTTTCTGTCATTCATCAGGATTTCTGACCGCCTTGATTTCAGTGGGTACAGTCAAATTACGGGACCCTTGCCTTTCTTTTTGCCCATTAAATTGATGCATTTTATTTTTTTATTTATTTACTTATTTTTTTTTTATAAAAAATGGGTCTTTTGGGCTAAGAACCTTACTCGGAGAAACTTCTTCGTATTTGCATAAATAAGTCCGAACGGAAAATTGAGTGCGCACCCCTCTGAGATGGCTTTGGCCCAACATGGCTGCACTTTTACGGCGCGAACTTCTGAAAAATATTCCTTCCAGAGATGAAGTTTGACAGAAGAACTTTTTGATTCATCCAAGTAGGATTTGGAAGGATCTCCATAAAACGGAAAATCTTCATATTTCAATTCCCTGACGAGGGTGGCATGAAACGTAATAAAGAAATGAAAGATTGGAAATTTCAGTGATAAATGTATTTTGTGAAATTTCACGAGGCTGTGAAATATTCCATATTTTTCAGGGGCTAGAGTATGCAACCCGCACTCAAACACAGAAAAATGGAGGAAAGTCACAATGTTTACATTTAGCGAAACATGAAAAGGAGCCGATATTTGTCAATATCTTTCCTCGTTGAATCCTGATAGAATCGGGAAAATCCTGATGCTAGACACTCAGCGTTCCCTGAATTCCCTGATGAATCCCGTTTTTCTCGGTTACTCCCAGTCCTGGTCATCATGTAGTTTAAGGAATTAGATGGGCCCTTCTTTATGAGTAGTGACAACTAGAAAAGACGCAAGGAAAGGACACCAGAAAGTGGTCATCTCGAAAGGTGGTTACCACCTCTACTGGCGTGCATCGGGGAGTAGATCTCCTCCCGAGTCCGGCGGCGATAACTATGATTGATTAATTACCCACGTCCCGACTCCGATCTAACTGCTGCCTCACTCCGCCCCTCCCCACCCCGCCTCACCCGGCTCCGCTTGCGTAATTTAATCACTTTTTATTGCACGTGAGCTAATAACCGGAATTTCTTACTTGTCCCAGATATGCCTCAACACGTCTTCTTTACGAAACCTCTCTTTCTATCGCGCCTCACTCCATGATACTTAAGCCGAAAAAAAGAAAAAAAACCGACATTTTTTAACTTGTGGACTACACAGTTTAAAATGTCCGTCTCTATGATCTCTTCGGGTTATTTCTTTACAAGCTGATCAAACCAGAAGAAACATAAAACAGGAAGGAACAGTAGAAGTATCAATCGCAAAATTTAGACATTTTGGCATCAAGAGAATTGAAAGTAGGAGAATTTACGTTACATGCATGGAGATATTTCTAAATCCTACTCAGGTGAATCAAAAAGGTTATCTGCCAAAAATTATTTTTGAACGGAATTTTTCTCAGAAGTTTGCGCCGTAAAATTGCAGCGTTTTGGGGCCAAAGTCATCGAAAACCCGTGGATAATCAAAAGAACTTGGTTGAAGATACGAATATCACTGGAAAAAAGCCTCTTTGGACCCTGAGTCCAGACTGAACATTTCTTCTCAAAAATCCGATTGAATCGAGGGTACTATTCCTTGTCAAATTTTTCGAGAATCTTGACTGCACATCCAAGAGACTTTTTTCCAGTGATCGATAGCCTAAGTCAGGGTTGTAATAGAGTTTAGATAGAACTTAGAAAATAAAATTCCCTGACATTTCCCTGATTTCCCTGACACATTTTGGTGAAATTCCCTGGCAATTAAAGATGTGAGGGATGGATCAGAAGGCATAATTGAAAATAGTTTTTAGGCAAAATTTGTTGTTCGAAACCTCAAACCTATTCTACGCAAATGGAGGTGATTTAACAAATTTTCCCTGACATTTTCGTCATTTCCCTTGACATTCCCGGTTTTCCCCGACTTTTTAAAGTTCCCTGACATTTCCCGGTTTTCCCTGACTGTAGCAACCCTAGAAAGTGCAAAAACATGTATCTCCATTGGGGTGTTTGAAAATTTCAAGTTGAAAATTTGCTACGATCTTTGTGAAGGAAACGACGTAGTGTGAGGTTTCTAAACTATATCACCTCTCAAGTGGACGTATTTCTGTCAAACGGAACTATGTGCATTAAGACATGAGCCCTGAGACCCATAAGAATATGTGTATATCAGGGCTCACGTCAAAATGCACATAGTTCCGTTTGACAGAAATACGTCCAAGGCATCATCGATAAGCTCATGAGGCGAGCTACAAGTCCAAACTTTTCCTCCTTCCTTCTCCTGTTTAATCCGTGAACCTTGCGGTGATGGTTTCAAATCAAATAAACGATGGGGGAAAAAATCAAGCGCCCAGCGGGTGCGTTCGGAAGCGAATGGTTTATTGTCATAATGCTGAGATTCGCGGAGATAATTGCGGGCAATTAACGAATGGCGAGTGGTAATTTTGCGACGGGAGGACGCGGTAATTCAACGTCGGTGCTCTGCTCTTCCAAAGGCTGGCCTTCACCTAAAATTCCCGAGATCTTGATTCCAGTCCAGAGCTTTCCCCAAGGTGAGGCGCATCACTACAAAGTCTCAGCGGTGAGCCAGACATTGAAAGCCGCGTGCTCATGGCTCCTCGCTTGCCTCACAAAAGGGCGTAAATTAGTGTTGGAGATTTTTAATCGATTTTCTTGAAAAGCCAATTTATTCATCCAAGAAAATCGACTAAATCCACGGTGCCAGAGACTTTAGAAAATGAAATTCCCTGACACGTTTTGGTGAAATTCCTCGACAATAGCAGATATGGCAAATGGTTAAGAAGACATAATTGAAAATAGTTTTAGGCAAAATTTGTCGTTTGAAACCTCAACCCTGATTTGGAGTGCAAATAAAGGAGATTTAACAAATTTTCCTTGACTTTTCGACATTTTCCCTGACATTGCCCGGTTTTCCCTGCCTTTTAAATTCCCTGAAATTTCCCGGTATTCCCTGACTGTGGCAACCCTGTTAAATCGCATCGATTTTATTGGGTTCAATTAATCGTGAATATCGATATTTTTCCTTAAAATCGAAAATTCCGATATTTGCCTAACGAATGTAGTAATCGGCACGTGAGTCGATTTTCGAACCAAAATTTTGCAAACTTCCGAAATTTTCATTTGAGTTTTTCCCCTTTTTTCCCCCTTTTCGCCTTTTCTTTAAAAGTGCAAATTTTGATTTTTCGTGGTTTCCAATTATTTAAATAAATTTCTTTGTCAAGATTAAAATGCTCTTTCAGCAGTCTGGGTTTTGTTTTATCCCACCTCCTTCATCTAAACCAGGTTTTTTCCCATTGGATTTTTTCCCTAGTTATTTTCATGTGCAATTTATTAAATTGTACAGCCTAAAATTCCTCCCTATCTAAAACTTTCTGTAGAAAATCTTAATCTACAAATTCAAATGGATACCTTTTAAACAGAGGTAGTTGTTGTAATAATTCTTAAGTGTATTCTGAAAAGTCATGTTCTTTCTTTGTACTGATTTCTTTCTTGACAATAAATTCGATATATATAAGATTAAAATGGATGGAATCGGATTCTCGAAGAAAATCAAAAAGATTAAATTATTCGATTTTTTTTAAAAAAAAAAATCCCGAACATGACTACTCTGGGGGTTTATACCTAAAGTCTTAAGAACTTGGCACCATATTGCGAGAATCGGGATGTTTATAGGAATTGGGAAATTTGGAGGTTGAGACTGCGACTAATTTTTGATCTGAAGAATTTTTTGCACCATCGATCACCTTATTCAGAGATTCATTCGAAGGGATTGGAGGACAAGGCGCATAAAAGCTGATTTTGAAGAAATTGAGACGTTAATTATTGCAATTCAAACTAGTCTTAAAACATATTCTGTGAATAATTCACTACTAAAATCTAATTTTTAAGCATCAAAATGTGAGTTTGAACTTTTTTCCCGCCATAAGGCTCCATGTACGTTAGGAACTTCAATCGCATATTTCTTGAAATAACAAAAACTACAACAAGGTGTATACTAAAATGCCGATTCGAATTTTCCTGATAAGTCTATATGTATTTTTAATGGAAATCTGACTTCTTGCACGAACAAAAGTGACACTCGTTTGATTTTACAATCCAACATAATTGATGAATTGGATTATAAGCTCACTTTTGCGAATGCTCAACCGCATACAGTTGGAAAATGCTTGATGCACTAAGCATTGTAGAACCCGAGATCGATTTTCCTGATATTCCCAGATGACATCCAATCCGCACGAATAAAGACGAAACTACACCTCATCATTATAAAATTGCCGTTCGAAAATTATTTAATTACTATACAAAACTATTGAGCGTTTCTAACTGAAAATTTGACTTATTTTTTTCCGATTACACCGAAAAATCAGAAAAACATTGGACCAAAACAATACAGTGATTTTTCGAAAAAAATTGAATGGTTTGAGTCCATTTTGGCAATATTTGGGGGTGGAGTTACGTTGCTGCGTCTAGGATACGACCTGATATTTTCCAGTTTCAGGGTGTCTAGTTTTTTTTTCACTATGGGGAATCCTGATGGAATCCTAATTTTTCTTGATTTCTGACTGCTAAATCCTGATTTCATAACTTGTCCAAATCCTCATTTTTGCGGAGAAAAATTAAAATTTCTGCACAAGCGTATGCGATAGCATAAAAAAATCTGATCGGACGGCCGACTTTTCTCAAATCCTGATTTTACGACCGATTTTTCCTCAAATCCTGATGAAATCGGAATTAAATCCTGACTGATCTCAAATCCTGATGGAATCGAAAATCGGGAAAATCCTGATGCTAGACACCTTGGTCCGAGAGACGACCAATGTCTGATCTTGGTCTGATATTTTCCAGTTTTTATTGGCGGTGGACAATTGGACATCTTGCGAGGCACTTATGTGCCTTGCCCTCCAAGCCCCTCATTCAAAGCTAGTGTTGCCGAGAACTTCTTTTAAAAGGCCGTAACTCACTTTTAAGGTCCCGTCCTTCGTTTGTGCAGGAGCCCTCGTCCATGAGGCACTTGATGTAGTTGGCGAGGACGCGGTCGTTGTTGAGAACTCGGTCCACGTCGAAGTTGTCGTACTTGCTCAACAGTTTCTCGTCCACTCCTGCGGGAGGGGCCGCATAGCAGGCTACGACGAGGGCCGCGAAAACGCACACGCTCTTCATTTTTATTTCACCACTCGAGTCCACGCACGAAAAAAGAACGCGAGATTTCCACCGACAAAGGTAAACGGAGTTCGGGGCTCGCCGCCCCGGCGCTTAAATACCGAGCCGGGTCCCCCCTCCCCCCGATCGGTCGCCCGTGGAGGGAACCGCGGCCCCCCTCGCCCCCCTTCCGTCTCGAGATCCCGCCTCACCGCGGGGCTTCGGCTGTGGAGGGTATGGATCCCATCGACAAGAATCCATCGAGAAATAGAAACTTGAATCCATCGAAAAATGAAAACTTGAGTCCATCGACACCGACTCGATCGACAAAATGGTTAAAACAACTGGGGTCGAGTTTATCGAAAAGAATCGATCGAGAGATTAAAACGTGAATCGATCGACGTGCGACTCGAACGATTCGCAGGTTTCTCGATCGAATCTGTGTCGATCGATGTACGTTTTTATTTTTCAGGGTGTCTAGTTTTTTTCTTTTTGGGAAATCCTGATGAAATTCGGATTTTTGACTGCTAAATCCTGATTTTTTGCGGAGAAAAATCAAAATTTCTACATAAGCGTATGCGAAAGCATAAAAAAATCCGATCGGACAGCCGATTTTTCTCAAATCCTGAATTTGCGACCGATTTTTCCCCAAATCCTGATGAAATAGGGATTAAATCCTGATTGACCTCAAGTCCTGATAAAACCGGGAAAATCCGGATGCTAGACACCCTGTTTTTCGATCGGTTCATGTCTATGGTATCCATCACCTCATTCGGCTATAATTGGCGGCTGTAACCGTTTACGGGAACAAAGGTTTGATGCACGAAAACGATTTTTACGGAGGAGCTATTCATAATCAGTTGAACTCAAAGACGTACCTAGGGTCGAATTCCGTTTTGCTGAAAAGTGTAATTTCAACCATTTTTTGGGGCTGTGAATGCAACACGAAATATTCATTCGAGAATTCCTCAAGAAATTGCGAAATTTGATTCATTGCATTTTTTTCCTTAAAAATTTCGAAATTAAGATTTTACTGTTTCTATTCTTTTTATAGCATGCCGGGTCCATTACAGAATTTTTAATTTTTTTTGCGAAATTTCATTTTATTATGTTAAGTAAAATTTTGCGTGCCTGTGTGAGATAAGAACTCGTATTGCTACGTTGCCGATGAAAGCAGTAGCGTCGACATTTTCGAGATCAAGTTTCCCTGAAAAGTCGACTTATAAAATTCGAATAAACTGACCAGTTCAGCTAAAAGAGCAAAACTCGTGTTTATGCTTAAAAACGGGAGTTACTAGAACAGTAAGAGCGCGAAAATTGACGTCCTTCTAGACAAAACAGCAGTGAGTCTTCAGTATTCTCCGAAAGAGCTGTACTCCTGTCGTCGTGGGTAAAGTTGTTCACTTTTCTTCTTATTTGGACAGAACATTCTTTTCATTTTTATGGAGCATTTTCAGAGGAGGACGGAATATTAGGCCACGGGGAAGAAAACCCGAATTTTTCGCCTGAAACCTGAAAACGTCAGCGAAATGTTTTGTCCAAACAGAGGATACACCTCGTTACTAAAAATGCAAAACAAGCCTGAAATCTATGGACGAATATCCGGGTGCAAAAGTGGATTGAGCTATCTTTCTCCTTTTCGAGGAAAAACTGTTCTACGATCCTTCTTCAGAACAATATCGATTTGAGCTAGAAATTGCGTTTTTTATGTACGAGTTGGCAAACTCTCAGTCCGTTCCGATCCAATCCGGAGACCGTATTGCGTCACTTCTGACGAGATGAAATAATCTCGCCCCTTCCCTCTTTCTTCGTCACCGTTCGACTCTCCTACAAACGGTTTGTTGTCAAAATGGGCGCTAAAATAGCGTTTTTTAAGGGGTAACAAATGGTTTCAGTATTATAATGAGGAAACCAAGCACTTCGGTCTGGAACGGTGCAAAATTCTCTCATACTATCAGTGCGTTTTCTACAGCTGGTAATTCTAAGGCTACTGGGTTTGGCATGACTTAAAGCTCCTTCTTATACGTTACCTCCTTAAAATTATATGTAGAAAGTTAGTTCGCCTTCAATTTTCGAGGTAGGCCAGATGATATCCTAGATGCAGCAATAGTTATCTAATTGAGGATTTGTCTTATGTTGTCTACTAATTTTCTGCCCATCCGTAAACTAAGATAAGCTTACCTGACGATATTGAAGCCGCCTCTATTATATGCTTTTTAATATACTATAATAATATATTTATAATTTTTAAGTAAATTTAAGGATAGGTAAGAGCAGACATGTTATAATTAACGGAAGATTACTTTAATAACGTCGTCATCAATTTATTGGTATGGTGACGAGGCCACTATATAGAAAATTCCATCATGTTGTATTTCCCGGACAAACAAGTATGTATCCAAACCCAGGCCACAAACTCATCTCAAAAAGTGCATTCTTCTACAAAAATTAGACTGAGTAATATCCTCCTAAAATTTTCTGATTTTTAACGGTAAAAAAAAAAAAAAAAAAAAAAAAAAAAAAAAAAAAAAAAAAAAAAAAAAAATAATAATTGATGAAACGTTCAATCCGAAATGCCCGATGGTTTCATAATAAAAATCAAAGTTTCGGATGGAAATTTTGCACAATTGATATTTGCTTTTGTTCTTTCGCCTGAGAAAAAAAACAAAAAAGAAAAAAAAAACGATGTCTTCATTGAATTTGATGAAAACTTCGTCAACCTTAGATTTTCATCAAATGACCAAATTACGTCATCTTTCGATCAATTTATCAACGAATTAAGATCGATTCTTTAACAAAATCCGGGATCTTCGGATCCATCCGAACTTCAACAATTTAAAGACCTTCTACGGACTTTTAAAAGCCAGCTATCCAAACAGCAGACTTGTCCCTGACTTCGCAGATATTGCAAACCCTGACCGTCTGACGAAACCAGAGATGCAAAATTTCATGAGACTTTAGAACATGAAATTTTTTAGATCTTTTGCGATGGACTTGGTATGCCATGAAACTCCCAAAAACAGTACAATCTTAATTTTGAGAAAAAATTATTTAATGAGTCAAATTTTGAAGTTTCTTGACAAATTATTGGATGATCGTTGTGGGTTGGATGCGCAGCACTTGAGGCATCTTTGAAATTTCACGGAAAATTTAATTCTACGTGAAATTTCATTCCGGAAAATTTATTCTTGCATCTCAGGTCCATAGACTGTTAAAAACCGACACGGAGAAAAAAACTTCGTGCATGGGACCCGAAGTTGAGGTCATATGGATCTCTGAAATTTTCTGATCACGCATCCGAAAACTTGAGGTCGAGCTGCCCGAAGTTCGGGTCAGACATCGAGGCACTTCGGTATGCACCGGAGTACTTCAGACGTGTGACCCGAACCCTTCGGTAGATATCGAAGTACTTCAGATGTCTGACCCGAACTTCGGCAGCTCGACCTCAAGTTTTTAGATACGTCATCCGGAAACTTCAGAGATCCATATGACCTCAACTTCGAGTCCCATGCACGAAGATTTTTTCTCCGCGGAGGAGTGAAATTCGGTGCCAGAGTCTATACAGCGCCCAAAAGCCCCCCAAATGATATGAATGCGAAATGAAATTGGCACCATAAAAACGTATGACACTCCGCAAAAAGAGTAGATGCCGCTCCGTCCTAGTGTGAGTCACTCCGTGAGGAGAGTAGATTCTGCTACGCATTCATTTCGCTCGAGATTTTTAAGCACTATTTGGAATCCGGTAGAGAATTTCACTCGAAAATTTTTGACAGTGTACCGTGCTAAAGAACACGCTTAAAAATGACTGGCGTATTAATAACATTGGAAGTAGCTTGGATCTAGAGTACAGACTCTTAAAAACATTGACAAGAAAAAATACTCTTGATTCGATCGGAATTTTTGCTTGGATCTCGAACCAAGCCTCTTAAGTTAAGCGGATTTCCTTTCGATTTAAGCGAAATTCCGTTTGAATCAAGAGTATTTTCTCTTGTCATTGTTTTCAAGAGTCTGGACTCTAAATCCAAGCGGCTTTTTTTCCGGTGAATGATTTAATGAAAACTTGGCGGCGCAGCGAGAAGAGCTCGGAGCATCCGTCTGCTGGAGCGATTTCAAGTTCATCTTCTTTCATAAATATTATTTACCTTCCTCCATCACTTTGGCCGGAGAGCATCAGCCGGGTACTTCAACGCAAGGTGACCATGCATGATCCACCGCCTCCGTCATTACGGCCCCTTGAGCCGACCCGGTAATCGCTTGGAAACCGCAGCGCCGCAGCGGGGTTCCTCGCCAAAAATCTCCACGCTCGGATCCTCCATTCCGGATCGCGTATCCTGCCACGCCACGGAAAAACCGCCCGGCGAACATACGAGCGTTGCCGAATTTCCCCCGCGGGCTTATTATTGGAATTGATAGACAAAGATATAGATAAAGAAGACGAGAGGAGGGATCTGTGGAACAGAACCAGAATGAGAAAACATGGTTCAAAGAGAAGAAAAACGAAGACCCTGCGGGCTGATTGTTGGAATTGGTAGACAGAGATATATACAAAGAAGACGAGGAGAGGGAGCTGCAGAGCCTGAGTAAGAAAACATGGGTCAAAAAGAAGAAAAACGAAAGCCGCGGGCTGATTATTGGAATTGATAGACAAAGATATAGATAAAGAAGATGTGGAGGGGGAGCTGTGGAACAGAAATCCAGAATGAGAACACATGGATCAAAAAGAAGAAGTCGCGGGCTGATTATTGACATTGGTGGATAAGGGTATAGCAGGGTGTCTACTAAAACAGGCTGGCCAAAAATCAGTACTTTTGTAGTACTTTATCAGGATATTCCCAAGAAATTCAGTACTTTTTCAGTACCTCCATTTGACGAAATTCGAAACATTTTAAACATCTAAATTTTTCGCTCAAATTTTGACAAAATAGACAAAAAAATGGAAGAAATTCCGGACCTTCTCACGGAATTTCCGTTCTTTTTCAGTACTTTCGAACCGCCTTGAGAAATCAGTGCTATTTTCGGACTTTCCGGAAATATCGGACTTGTGGACACCCTGGTACAGAGAAAGAAGACAAAAAGAGAGGGCTGAGAAAA